GAAGGCGGAGAAATTTGAACAGTCCAAAGTACGTAATTACGTTTCAGATAGTAGTGGTAGATGGCATGGCACATACAGCTGTGAGACACGTTGTAAAAATCAGGACCATATATTTAAAAATCCTGCAAATTTTACTCAGTATATTGTTGTAATTCTAAATTAATATTATTAATAATTAAATATGCATACAGCCCTTCATCTGAAGATCCCAGGGCGGTCCACAGCGGAAAAATACAAAATGAGAATACAAAATACATAATAGAACAAAAACAAAAACCCTCCAGAAAGTATTTATTCCATCCCAGTTAAGACGACTATTAGTATGCAAGTGTTCACATTACCCACAACTCTTCCCCCAACCTTACATTCTCTGAAAACATGGACCTAGTTCTTAAAAGTGCTAAAGACAGAGGTGGCTAACGATATTTTTTTGGGGGGGGGGGCACCCTCCATTCCTGCTTCATTGCACCATCATTCTGTGTAACCCAAGATCTTAACCTAGTTATGGCTGCAATTCTGTGCACACTTTTCTGAGACAAAGCCTTGTTTTAATACCCAACAATTTCACTTCTTATATAGGCATAGAATTGGTCTTAAAGTCTAAGAGTGTCCTAACTTTGTATTTTTCGCTCTATAAGATGCACCACACCATAAGACGCACCTAGTTTTTGGAGAGGGGGAAAAAATATTCTGAATCTCAGAAGCCAGAACAACAAGAGGGATCGCTGCACAGCGAAAGCAGTGACCCCTCTTGCTGTTCTGGCTTCTGGGATAGCTGCGCAGCCTGCATTCGCTCCATAAGACGCACACACATTTCCCCTTACTTTTTAGGAGGGGAAAAGTGAGTTTTATAGAGCAAAAAATACGGTAGTTTAGAAACACTGAAATCATCTATAATCTTAGAATGGTACCTGAGGTGACGCTGAGCCTCATTACTATGGCTCTTCAATGGCCCTCCCCTTCCACCAAAATTGTTTGGACCCCCTTGCCATTATTGTACTAGTCTTGGATTTAGCATGGTAGAACCAAAATGTTCTGTGTTATTTGGTTGCATTTATGTCAACCTTAAATAACCTTCATATTTGTATCTTCTGTGCCTGAAAACTTGTCATGTTTTAATACGTCAGAGCTAAGCCAATCTACAGTAGTTTTGAATACTTGCATGCTTTATTTTGTTTTGCCAGACTTTATGTCGCCTAGAAACGATCCTTTCATAATTAGTTTTCAGTAGTCTTTTCTTCTGTATACCGTACTAGTGTTGGATAATTATCTTAGTCAAATGCCATTCGCTGTGTTAAGCTTGCATTCTAAATTACGCACAGCCTGTAAAATATTGCTGAGAAATTCATGCCTTTTCTTATATAGTGTGTGATATCGCTGTCAGTCTTCAGAGTCTATTATCTAATTGTCTACTGGAGCAACATGTTTTCTTATGCCTAAATATTTAAGAATAATGATTCACATTCCACCAAGCATTGAAATTACAAGCTACTTTTAAATTGACCTATCCAGTGCTCTGTTAGTTTCTATGCTTGCCAAGCTGATATGTCTGAGCTCTAGGGACTTTGGAATTTAACTGACAAATTGGCTTAATTCAAGGAGAGTTTGTGTGCCTATGAAGTGTGTTTTTTAGTCTCTGTGATTTTGGCAAAACTAGTCAGTGGAAAGATCAGAAACCCAAGGGGTTGTTGGAGTATTTATATAGTTAGGAGGTATTACTCCTAGCACTTTCCCATTGCCTTGCTGTTTCTTTCTTTCTTTTTTTAAAGATATTTATTAAGATTTTCAAAGTATTACAAAATGAAAAAAGAAAAATACAAAATAAAAATAGTTAAAAACAATTCCATCTTTCCATTACTTATTTTTCATTTGCTTGTTTCCCGGACCTCCTCACACCTCCCTTTTTTGTATTCCAATTCAATTTGTTAGTTCAGCAAATCCTTTCCCCCTTTGTTTATCCTAGTCTTTAATCTTAAAATATTGTAACATTAAATTTTTACCTGTTAATAATCCATTTTTTCATACTCCTTATAGCATTATCGCTAAAAACCACTTAACTTCTTATCCAACATCATTCTAACATTCATGAATTTTACAATATTTCTGTAGATAGTCTTTAAATTTCTTCCAATATTCTTCCACCGATTCTTCTCCCTGGTCTCGGATTCTGCCGGTCATTTCTGCCAGTTCCATGTAGTCCATCACCTTCATCTGCCATTCTTCCAGGGTGGGTAGATCTTGTGTCTTCCAATACTTTGCAATAAGTATTCTTGCTGCTGTTGTGGCGTACATAAAGAAAGTTCTATCCTTCTGTTTCTTCCCCTCTTTTTGTTGATGTGTTCTCATCCAGCTTATATAAGAGTACAAAATTAAATTAGTGTGTGTGTGCGCGTGTGTGTGTGTGTGGATGTGGATGTATCATCAATGTGCATGGCACTTACAGAGTACAAGAGGAGAAAGGGTTCTGCCCTAAGGACCCAACATGGGAAACAGGAAGAAAAGGGAGGAGGCAGGTGTAAGCAGAGAATCCAATGGATGGGTATTCAGCTAAGTTTTACTCAAGTACAGTGGTACCTCGGGTTACATACGCTTCAGGTTACAGACTCCACTAACCCAGAAATAGTTTGTGTTAAGGGTTAAGAACTTTGCTTCAGGATGAGAACAGAAATCATGCTCTAGTGGCGCGGCAGCAGCGGGAGGCTCCATTAGCTAAAGTGGTGCTTCAGGTTAAGAACAGTTTCAGGTTAAGAATGGACCTCCGGAATGAATTAAGTACTTAACACGAGGTACCACGGTAAAGGTAAAGGGACCTCTGACCATTAGGTCCAGTCGTGGCCGACTCTGGGGTTGCAGCGCTCATCTCACTTTATTGGCCGAGAGAGCCGGCGTACAGCTTCCGGGTCATGTGGCCAGCATGACTAAGCCACTTCTGGCGAACCAGAGCAGCACACGGAAATGCCGTTTACCTTCCCGCTGGAATGGTACCTATTTATCTACTTGCACTCTGACGTGCCTTCGAACTGCTAGGTTGGCAGGAGCAGGACTGAGCAACGGGAGCTCACCCCGTTGCGAGGATTCAAACCGCCAACCTTCTGATTGGCAAGCCCTAGGCTCTGTGGTTTAACCCACAGCGCCACCCGCATCCCTTATTTTACTCAAGTAGACCTGTTGAAATCAGTGAACTTCGCTTAGTTATGTCAATTAATTAGCCATGTTCATTAATTTCAGTGAGTCAGAATTAGTTGAATACTACCCAATATGAGGTTGCTTCCATTGTATGTGCTCAGACTTAGTTATCGACTTAGTTACATGAAGGAGTTGAGCCAAAGGCTTCACTGGAAAGGTTAGTTTTGCATGTATTCTGCAGCTTAGTAAAGAAAAAGGCTTTCACAATAGTGCCATACTTATTTATTGCACTAATACAGATAAACACCACCTTCCTTCTTTGGCTTTGTAAATTATTATTTTTTGTGCACAGCAGATGCAGGATAATTTAATTTTGTTTCAAAAAGAACTATCTTATGGCACCTTAAAGGCTAACAAATTTATTATGGCATAAACTCAAGAACAGAGCTGTCGGTATAAAGTTTTTGTTTTGTTTTGTTTTGTTTTTCATTTAGTTTTGAGCTTCCTGAGCTGCTCACTAAAAATTGTTTATTCTTTTCCACTTGTCAAAGCATGTTGCCTTTTATAAAGGTCCCTAAGAAATCAATAACGCTGGATGCACTAGTACTCTAACACAGTTCTTTTGAATATCTCACTTAGAGAAATGTTCATATTGTCTTCTGACACAGCTTTTGTTGCAACTGTATTTGCTGTGTAGGCATTTACTGGATGGTACCAGTTTAGAGTAGAAGCAGGGGATGTCATGCTTGCATATTACCCCATAATTTCTCTCTCTCCTGTGTACAGAATTAGCATATCAGCTAGAAGACTGGTTTTCTTTGTGTTCTGTGGGGGAGACAAGCAAACAAATTATCATTAGGCAAATTCATGGAGGAGAGGGCTATCAATGGCCACCAGCCATGATGGCTATGCTGTATCTCCACAGTTAGAGGCAAAAATGTTTCCGAATACCAGTTGCTGAAAAACATGGGCGGGAAGAGTGCTCTTGTTGTGCTCCCTGGCTTCCCACAGGCATCTGATTGGCCACTGTGAGAGCAGGATGCTGGATTAGATGGACCAATGGCCTGATCCATCAAGCTCTTCTTATGTTCTTACGTTTGAGTTACCTTTCTCTTGTTCCTTCAGCCCCTTAATCCTAAATCTCTTAATACTGATCCTGGGCATGATGGGTATTCACTGGCCTGACTACCCTTGTGTCAAAAACCCACTACAGTGGTACCTCCAGTTTCACACGGGATCTGTTCCGGAGCTCCGGTCGGATCCTGCGGTGTACATATCTGGAGGTGCTGCTTCTGTGCATGCGCGTGGTACAGTTTAGCACTTCTGCGCATGCAGCATACAGTGCTTCTGCGCGTGCGATGAAACCCGGAAAAATACTTCCGGGTTTGCCACGCACGTATCCTGAAGGATACGTAACCGGAGGTGAATGTAAGTAGAGGTACCACTGTACTTCCCTTTCTGCACCTACTTTTGTCTTTGTGTTGGGTAGCCACATTGGCATAAATTCATAGTTGGGCAGTTTTATGCTGGCACAGCTTCCCAGTTTGGGGCACAAGCTCATCACAGTGTCTAGCTGAATCTAGGGAGTGGCATCGCAGCATAGTACCAACAGATTGCATGTGGATATAATTTGCGTGACTCCCTTTAAATTGCATACTGAAGATGGTTAATTTCTGAATTTTGAGATTATTTCTATATGTTCTGCATTGGTGATCAAGAAGTTCTAACCTATTGGAGAGAGCTGCAGATAGGACTGCATATCAAGTCTAGACCTCTAAAATGTCTTAGTTTGAATCAGAGTTCAATATACAGTTCATACAGCAAGCCAAGGCTACCTGCCAAACCTAAATCAGATATCCCTGTCTTCCATTTAGCTGGCCTATGGACAGTGTTCACATTGGGAGGCGTGGGCAGCAAGCGTGCTCCTCAGCAGGAGGAGTCTTCACCTCTAGCTAATCAAAGTCTTCTGTTGCTACTTGTGCTAGCAAATCTGACTGATGCACCAGATACACCAAACCCTTACAGACAAGCTATTATGTCCTTCAAGAACACACAAGGTATGTACCTTTTTAAAAACCTATCCATCTGTCAAGAATCAAAGAGAGAGTTGAACTTGGGAACCTTGCAGTAGAATCCTAGTTTGGTTATGGGCTTGTTGGCAGTAAGAGGACCCAAAGGAGGTCATTACAGCTGCACTATCACTTTAGAAATAAATGATGATTTTTTAAAAAAAACTATTTAGAAATGGATCCTCAAATGCATGTCTGGGCTAAAGGTGGGTCCATTGTCTGAAAAGTTTGACTACTGTTGAACTAACCCTTGAAGACTCACCTCACGATGGGGAAATCACAAAATCAGTAAGATGAATCCCTTTCAAACTGTTTGTTTTCCCCCCCTCCAGATAGCACTGCTCTTCCTTCACCAAATCCTCACACTTTCCAGATTAATTTTAACAGTTTATATACCACTTTGTGTGAGCAGCAAAACTCTGATCAAGCAACCCTTCTTTTGTACATCCTTCTGCATCAGAACAGCAATGTTCGAACATATATGTTGGCTCGAACAGATATGGAAAATCTGGTAAGTATTTTACTGACTATTCCACTGCTTTGCCAATCTAATACTCAACAGAGGATCTTGCTTGTAAAATGTTTGTTCGTGTATGCCATCACAGATATTCCCACTCCACTTCAGTGATCATTTCTACCAAATAACTAGTTGCATTATCTACAACTTTTGGGGGAGGAAAGTGTATTTAAATTGTATGCAGAATGCATTTACCTGGCTATGGATCAACCAAGCCCTGGTACCCACTTTACCCTACTTCAGTGATTATAACACCATAGCACCCCTCAATCTTCAAAAACCCATGTGTGTGCTCGTTCATGCTGTTTAGCCATTCATTGCTGTGAAAGAGATTGAAATAATTTGCTGGATGGGGAGAACCCTGCAGGATGTTTTTTCTTAAATGGAAGCAGCAAAACTGTCTGAAACTCATGTTGGATAATATTAATGATAAAATATCACACTCAGTCCACTTTACCTGCCAGAATGATGGAGTTAGATGTATATTATTATTAGCTCTGTCAGCTCTAGAAATTTAGAATGTGATGATCCATCATAAAAGCACTGCCAAGAGTCTTGTTTATTAGGATTTGAATTTTATGCTTCCTCATAGGAGTTTATTTAACTCTCCCCCCCCCCCGCCCGACTGCTTTAAAAACACATACACACGAAAGGGAGTTAATAATTTTTGGTCAGTTGTGTGTGTTTTCATCTGTTTCTGAAGCTATTAAATTACAAACAAAATGGTTATGTAAAATCAGAGGGATCTAAAAGTGTATGTATATGTTTGTTTTGGGAACTTTTGAATACTAAACTACTCCATCCCTATTTTCCTCTCTTCAAGGTTTTGCCAATTCTTGAGATCCTTTATCATGTCGAAGAAAGGAACTCTCACCATGTTTACATGGCTCTGATAATTTTGTTAATCCTTACCGAAGATGATGGCTTCAATCGATCCATTCATGAAGTGGTAAGTGATGAGCCATAAGAAATCAATTTATAATATAAATGTGCTTCTGTATAAAGATGAATTTGGTCTTTTTGTTGCCAAGTTCACTCTGATGGTGGTTTGTCATGTCAGCATAGCTGATTTTTATGCATTCAACTTGTTCCTAAGCATTTGAGATGCTCTAGTCTTTTCCTATAGGTCTTAAGCCTTTTATACTGAGGCTAATCAAGAAACTCTTATTGCACCTTGAGTCAGGTCCATTTTGGATGACAAACTTGAGAAATATAACATAACTGATTTACTTTACACAGTATATAGAGTCTAAAAGGAAGAAGTTATGTCCAGTGAGTTTTTGGCTAAGCCTGCATTTTAACTGCAATTGTGATGCAGTTCATGAATGGATTTCAAAATATTAGGTTGGGTCCAGACTGTTATTTCGGTTTTGGCCTCACTGAAATTACTGTGAAAAGTTTGTCATGACTATCTTAAGTTTTTTTATTTCAGAGGGAGCTTAGGTTGGATCCATCCAACTATTTATAAGACATTTCTTTAAACCAAATGATGGAGGCGCTCTGACCTGATCATTGAGTTTTGTCTGTTCACACTCTTCCACCCCACACTCTCCAGTTTATATGCTTATTTTGAATATTGGGGCAAACCTATCTATAATGAGAAAAATTAGAAAATTGGCAGTCTGTAGATGAAATAAAGCATAATAGCTAGGATTCGTGGAACTACTTCAGTTCCTAGAAGAAACTTGTGGCAGACCAAAGGAACATTCCCCTTCCCCCCCTTTAAACAGCTTAATTCTCCCCACTCCCGACTATATTGCAAACTGTTTTTGAAATATCCCTCAGTTTTGAAAGTCTTTTCATTCAGCATGGGGTGGGGATATACTTTTCTAAACATATTTTTAAAAAAATATAAATGGAAGATATATGCAACAGAAATCTTTTGTAGCCATTTCCAAAAAACTATGCTAGTTTATTTTAGCAACTTTGAAACTTTGGAATACACAACTTTTGTCCTATGGTTAAAGATTGAGAAGATAAAAATAATAGACATTTTGCATCATAATGGGCCTCCCATCCTGTCCTTCGTTGCACATCTTCCTTTTATAGCTGCATTGCCTTTGCCAATCTCTGTATGTATTTTCCTTTTGTGGTATTACACCCACAATTATTTATTGATATTTAAGATTAATTTTAGTAAGTGCCATTTTATAAATTGCTGATTATATAGACACTTTCCTGGGTTCCCCCAAAGAAGCCGCAAAAGCTTTCCTGTCTGGTTAAAAGATTTTTGTTTGAAAAGAAAATGTGGTTTTGGCTTCCTTGGAAAGAAGATCAAAAATAAGAGATCTTTCTGCTATTGGCTTCAGACAAACAGGTACCTATGCCTGTACTGAGTCCAGTTTTATTAATAATGAAAACCGCGACTGTTAAGTAAACCTAATATGACATCCGCAAGGGCAACCAAGACGTCAGTGAGTTTGTCTTTGTGCACTTCTGATCCTGAATGCACATCTCTGTATATATTGGCAACCAGCGCAGTTCTTTCAAAATTAGTGTTATATGCTGAAGTAGGAGCTGCTGATAGGAACTGAGCTGCTATATTCTGGACTAGCTGCAGCTTTCGAGTCACCTTCAAGGGCATAGAGCAGGGGTCAACAACCTTTTTCAATCATGGGCCTGTCCACCATCCCTCAGACCATTTGGTGGGCTGGACTCTATATTTTTTTTTTAAATGAACGAATTCCTATGCCCCACAAATAACCCAGAGATACATTTTAAATAAAAGGACATATTCTACTCATGTAAAAACATGCTGATTCCCGGACCGTCCGCAGGTCGGCTTGAGAAGGCTATTGGGCCGCATCCGGCCCACGGGCCTTAGGTTGCCTACCCCTGGCATAGAGCATGTTACCCTAATCCAACCTCAAGGCTACCAGCACATGGGTCAGAGTGGCAAAACTCTCTCTGTCCAGAAATAATCATAGCTGGTGAGCCAGACATAGCTGGTAGTGATGTGACCACATGGTGTGACATGATTAGATTCACTCGTAGACAATATTTGTCTCAGGTCTGAACATAAAGTCTGAGCTGCTGAAAAGATTGATTTTATTTCATCATTCATTCATTCGGTTTATTTATACAGCTCAAAGCAGTTATAAAACTAGACAAAAACAACTTTGGAGTCCAACCTATATCCTTTGGTTGCATCCACTTTAAAATTGCCCTGCATCAAACATGGAGATTTCTAGTCTTTTCTTTTGGATGGTGGTGGTGGGAGCCATACTCCAGAGAACAGCACTATTATACTTGTTTGTTTGTTTGCATTCCACCTTTTCCCCAGACCAAGACTTAAGCTGTCTTACACAAATTAAAATAACATAGATAAAATTTAACTGTAATAAAATTAAAATGATTTTAAAACAAATATATTAAATTACTGATAATAACAGGCAGTGGAAGACAATCAAATATGCTCTTTCCATTCTTTATTTCAGATATTGAAAAATATTACTTGGTACTCAGAACGTGTATTAACAGAAATTTCCCTGGGGAGTCTCCTGATACTAGTAGTAATAAGGACTATTCAGTACAACATGACACGAACAAGGGTAAGAACTGTATTTTGGGCTGATTTCACGTAGATTTGATTTGATCAACTTTAATTGCTAATTCCTCTCCACATCCCCAAGCGGCCCTTCCTAGCACTGGAGACACAGGGACTGAACAGATCTGTTCACTTTAGTTTGGTGTTGTTATTTTAAAATCCATTAGGAATCCCCCCCCCTCTTTATTCCCCACCTGCCATGTTTAGAAAAGAGAAGCTGCATTATTACAAACCTTTTTTTTAAAAAATCGTATAAAATAAAAATTAAGGACTGAAGAAGAATAAAAGTTGTTCAGCTTTGTTTCTGACCAGGGTTAAACATATAGTCACACTCTAAAAATATGCAGTGACAATTCCTTAAAAGACCTAAGCATATTGAGCCATGATTGCACAAGTTGTTGCTAAGGCTTATCCCTAAAATCAGAGCACAAGTTGGGTTTGTCTTCATTGCAACTTTGCCTCCGGTAAACGGATGTTAGACTGGTGAGTGATTTCCTTTTGACAGGTCTTGCTGTATACAGAAAGGATAGTTTGATGTGTGTGTTTTTTCCCCTCCTCATCTCCAACAGGACAAATACCTTCATACAAATTGTTTGGCAGCTTTAGCCAATATGTCAGCACAGTTCCGCTCACTTCATCAGTATGCCGCTCAGAGGATCATCAGGTAAATACAAGCCTTTTACAAAATATTTAAACTAGCTTCAACCTAAATTCCGCAGGATAGATACTTGAATTTCCTATTGCTCAGATTTGAATATGAACCCAGGTAAATTCTGTTCAGCTTCATGAAGTCTAGGTTAAATCTTAAACTGCAATACAGTGCGCTCCATTTATCCTTTAGCTGCTTGCTAATGACGTCTGCCTGTGCCCGCCAAAAATGGTTAACTACATGGAATAGGTGGCCAAAAGGCTGCTCCATAAGGGTGAATGGGGCTCTACCCCACCAGTCACAGGGCTTACCCAAATTTACCTTTTGCCCCGCATTTTCTAGGCACAGGTCTCTGCTTTCCTGGTCTGTGTATGAATGGTTTTTCCCTTGCCGCTTTTGCTAGGAAAACCTGAACTTTACCGCTGAATTGGAGCAAATGGCAATTCGAGTTTTTTCAGATTGCAGTTTGCTTTGATTCGAGCAGTAAAGAGTGGGTTTTCACAGGGTTTTCAAGCAGCAGATCTGGGGCACGCTTGGACACCTAGGAAGTCCAGACCTGTGCCGATAAATGTGCAGCAAAGGTAAGTGTGGAAGAGCCCTGATTGTCTTCTTACTTGCATGCCGTCCACTGTCCATACCTGTCATCTTCCTCCTCCATCTCTGTGTTGCTCTTGTAGACCACAGCAAGGAGGAGATTGGGGACAGACGGACTAGAATTTGCTTTCTGTGGCTCCCATTGACTCAGGCTCCACCTCCTCTTGGCCTCCCTTCTGCCCTACCACTCCCAATGGGCAGCCGCTGCCATTGGCAAACACTAATATTGCCTGTTACTGCTGACACACTCGGGAAAGTGCTGTGTAATCTGTTTAGTGAATTGCATGGGACAAATAAATATACCGGTGTGTCAGACCAGCATGGTTATTATAGATTCTGGTGAAGTCATGGTCCCTCAATAGCAGAGGTCACTATGTAATATAAACAGCCTCTCCTGTATCTTGTACTTCTTTCCATTTTTGATGGCACAGCAGAACTTCTGCTTGAATCTGAGCTCTGTTGTCCCAAAATCTTCCAAATCAACAACTTCCCTGATAGTCATTTCCCCCTCATTGTACTTTCTGGGGTTTTCTTTGGGATCAGTTGTGACCCAGAATTCCTTCAAGGATGTTTGTTACATTACGAGCTGATCCCTTAGATTCTATTGTTTTTCCTGTGTTTAGTTTTGCTGTGTTTAGTTTTTGCTTGGTTTAATACTTGGGTATTATAATATTTTATTTTTCTCTTGGGAAGGTTTTTACTCTGTAAGGTGAGGACTAAATATTTAAATAAATAAGACTGCAATGCACACACACCCTTATCTATCACGCTTGGAGCAGCGGGAGCCTCAAACAGTTCTGCCGGCATCACTCCTTTGGTGTAGAGCTCTCCATTCCGCCTGCAGGATTCCCACCATAAAGCAGATGGGGGAGGGGATGAGCTAGCCTGGGATCTACTGGTCCCTCTGCATCAGACCCACTCCTGGCCCAACAGCTATGCCAAATTTCTGGGCCCCCCCCCACCTTCCACTCTGTCCTCTGTGTGTAGTTGTGGGTGTGGTAGTGACGCAACTGCTGTCCAGTTAGCTTTCAGATTGTTCTGCAATATAGTAGTCCTCAAGCTTTCCAGACCTGGGATCCATCTTCAAACCTAACCTGCATATTGAGGCACCTATTTTAATTTGTTGTTGTTGTTGTTGTTGTTGTTGTTGTTGTTGTTGTTGTTGTTGTTGTTGTTGTTGTTTTTTCTTATATTAGTTTTTAGCTTCTCCTTTCCCCTCTCCCCTTTTTATCCCTCTCTTAAAAATAAATAAATCCTGAAATAGTGATTGGGAGGAGAATGGTGCTGGCCTAGTGATACGGCAAGTACAGCCCACTTTACCTCCAAGCACAGTCTCTTGGTGGATCCTGTTTATTCTAGTTGGAGATTAGTGCTGTAATAGTAATTATTATTATTATTATTTATTTTATTATTATTATTAATACCCCGCCCATCTGGCTGGGCCTCCCCAGCCACTCTGGGCGGCTTCCATAGAAACCAAAAATACAGTAAAATATCACACGTTAAAAACTTCCCTTAAGATGTCTTCTGAATGTCAGGTAGTTGTTTATCGCTTTGACATCTGCTGGAAGGGCATTCCACAGGGCGGGCGCCACTACCAAGAAGGCCCTCTGCCTGGTTCCCTGTAGCTTTGCTTCTCGCAATGAGGGAACCGCCAGAAGGCCCTCGGCGCTGGACCTCAGCGTCCGGGCAGAATGATGGGGGTGGAGACGCTCCTTCAGGTATACTGGACCGAGGCCGTTTAGGGCTTTAAAGGTCAGCACCAACACTTTGAATTGTGCTCGTAAACGTACTGGGAGCCAATGTAGGTCTTTCAAGACCGGTGTTATATGGTTTCGGCGGCTGCCCCCAGTCACCAGTCTAGCTGCCGCATAGATAATAGAGTTATCATTCCATGTAAATAGATGTTTCTGACTTTCCAGATTGCTAGTTGTTTCTAGCAGCAGGACCTGCACAAGGAACCCTTACATGTTAAATAAAAGTTAATTCCAATTTAATTTTGAAAGCGGTTTATTTTAAGAAAATTGATGATGGTGTGACAAATACTATATTTATTTTCTAAAGCAGCCAATTCAAGAAAATGTGGCTTGGATTATTACCACAAGCATCGCCTTACTTTGAGAGTGGGCTAGGAGAGTGGGCTTTTGAGACACAGAAAATGTGGTCTATAAGCTTTCAGTAGACCTGGTTGTGGAACTGAGCAGCAAGCATATTTGTAGGTAACACATGACTATGATGAATTATTTTAGGTGAAGTAAAATCAGCAAGTGCAACTTTAATTTTATTGCTTTAGGAATTCTCAACTCAAAATCTACTTAGCCGTACAGCTGACAGAGCACAGACGGCCATAATTCAAGATTCACCAGATGCTCTAGTAATTCCTTCCTTAATGTGAGAAGTAATTCAACTTCTATGGAGGCTTTTTTAAATCCTCCTATGAGTACGGACTGCCAGTAGTTTTAAATTATGAAGACTATTGTGGATTAAAGGTTGAACTGAGACTTGTCATTTATAGTTCAACCAGGGCCTCAGTAAAATAGAACTTTATGCCACAGAGTAATTGACACATTCTGCAGTCATTAATGTTGACAGATTTGTGTAAATCATTTCCTCACGCTCAGCTGCTAGCAGTGAAATTAGATGTAACAGATTACTTGGATGGACACTGCCGTTGAATTTAATCATTATCAGAATCATCCTTGATTATGTAAGAGTAAATAGAGTCCCAAACTATAATGCTATTCATAACATGTAGATTGCATTTCATTTTTCAATATTTAAAGAATGTGCTGATGCAGAAAGGCAGATGATTCTATAAAAGGATTATTACCTTGCTAATTGCCTTAGTATAGGCAATCATGTTCATAAGATGGCAAAACAAATACTTTAGGACTTGGAGGTAAACTAGCTGTTCTGGTAGGTTATTTGCTTGTTTGTTTGTAAGATTTCTTATCCACCCTTCACCATAAGTTCCCAGGGTGGATTACAACAATATACTAGAACAAAGCAGTATACATTTAGCAAAAGAGGCAACTCCCAGAAAACAAAATAACTGTCAAATCCTGGGGTAAAGAGGTATGTCTGCAACATATAGCAAAAGCTGTGCAATGAAGATGCTCAATGCACCTTTCTGGATACATAGGATATTTTGAGAGCCCATGTGTAGAAAAGTGACACATGCACAGTATTGATCTTGGATCCTATTCAATGACTTAATCCAAGAATTTCCAGCTTCAGTTTTACTAGCTGAACCAGGCAGGTGCCTATATTATTTAAAAAGAGAAGAGTTATCACAGGAGCACCATATCTTAAATTTGAACCCAAGTGTAGAATGTCAATTTTGACAGTATGTTTAGAATTGCGAATCTATCCCACAGATGAGTTCTATGCCCACTAGACACTGGGGCACATTTTTTTTTCAGTTCTATAAAGGAGAGAATTAAGAGCTAACAGAACTTTAATTGTGGAACCTGCCTAGTTGGATAGGGGTTTGTCTCAGCTTCGCTTCGAGCCTTGGAGTGACATCACACTAGAAAGTGGAGAGTCACTTTGCTTCATTTTTCAGAGCCTCTGACATGTTGACCGCAGTGAGAAAATCAACAAATGCCTATAACATTTAAGCAAAATTGGGTGAAATTTGCAGGCACAGTAGCACCTTCTGAGGTGGTGAAGCCAGCCAAACCTCTGGCAAATAGGTGTACAGTGAGGGAGTTATGGATAAATGAATATTTTTATCTTCTGCTCAGTTTGCCCCAAAGTTACAGAAAGTGCAAATGTGATTACGACAGAGCTGAATGTTTTGTTAGTGGGCAAGGCTCTGTGCCTGTGTCCTTGCTTTGTTGTGTGTGTTGTATGGCTCTGTGTTCTTTATTGTGTGACTGAACAGTGCAGTCCTATTCATAATTATCAGAAAGCCTACTGAGTTTAAACGGGTTTTCTCCCAGGTAAGTGGTTACCTTAAACATGCATATATACAGTTACCAAACATTACTGTAAAACTTGCCCTGCTGCAAAAACTTTGAGGAATTATTTCAATTTTAATTAACACTATTGTTTCAATGCACTACCAGTGCTTCACCATAAGAGTGAATATTAAATATTAAAACAGTCTAAAACTAACCACAGTCACAAGATTAGGCTGCCTCCCCAAAACATACATCTCAGGTGTTAAAGGCCAGGGTAAAGATTTGCATCTCCAGGCTTGGCTACTGTAATTCGCTCTACGCGGGGCTGCCCTTGAAGCTGTCCCAGAAACTCCAGCGGGTACAGAATGCTGCAGCGAGGCTCCTCACGGGGTCTTTGCCATGGGAGCATATTCACCCAGTGCTTTTCAAGCTGCACTGGCTCCCGGTGGAGTACAGGGTCAGATTTAAGGTGCTGCTTTTGACCTTTAAAGCCCTTCACGGCCTAGGACCCTCGTA